AAATTCTGCCCACTATATATCAGTAGGTGACAAAAAGAAGTGAGAGATTAAAAAAGAGGCGGGAAGCCATATTGCACAGTGGGTGGAAATGCCCTTCTAGAGTGGAGACCACTGTTTGCATCTGGGCTTGGCTCATCATCAGTGGGTGACCAGAGGCAAATCATTAAACCTCATATTTACTTCACAGAGGAAAGGAAATAACACTTACCTTGTAGGGGTGTTTGAGATCATTACCGTGAAGGATGGATTCCTATATCTAGCTTAGTGTCAGCATACAATAAATATTTGACCATAATCTGGTTTTATTACACATTTCTTTGAATAATGGTGAAATTGAATATTTTATAAAAGTTTGTTGATCATTTATGTCTTCCTCTGTGAATATTTTTCATATTCCTTGTGTATTTTTTCATTGGAATTTTGATAAAGAGTTAGGGTAACACGTTATTAAATGATGCTTCTAATCTTCATTTGTCTCATGTTTTTATGTGTTATCTCAGGTCATTTTTTTAATTTTGAAAACTTTGTTCCCAGATATTTTTGGTTTTTATGATTTTTTTCAATATCAAAATGACTTTATTTTTTGTTTTAGATGCATGTCCATTGTAAAAATTCAGAAAATATGAAAAAGGAAAATTTTTTTTTAAATTTGTAACCCTGATGCCTAGAGATAATCAATATTGTGGTATACATGTCAAAATATTTCGTAAATTATAAAATGGAGTCACTTTACATGTGTAGATTTTTAATATTTTCCTTTCTTCCCAATATTGCATATTTTTAGGTCAATAAATAACACATATAGATAGCCACATTATGAGAATAGCATCTGATATTCCATTTTGTTCATGATGTCCTTTGCCTTGCAGAAGCTTTTTAGTCTGTTGTGGTCCCATTTGTTTATTTTTTCTTGTGATTCCCTTGCCTAAGTAGACATGGCGTTCGAAAAGATGCTGCTAAGACTGATGTCAAAGAGTGTACTCCTATATTTTCTAGGAGTTTTATGGCTTCAGGTCTTACATTCAAGTCTTTAGTCCATTTTGGGTTAATTTTTTGTATGGCATAAGATAACGGTCTACTTTCTTTCTTTTGCATGTGGCTGTCCGGTTTTCCCAACACCGTTTATTGAAGAGGGTTTCCTCTCCTTTGTCGAAGATTAGCTGTCCATAGATGTGTCGTTTTATTTATGGGTTTTCAATTCTGTTCCATTGATCTCTGTGTCTATTTTTCTGCCAGTACTATGCTGTTTTGTTTACTGTAGCTTTGTAGTATGTTTTGAAGTCAGGAATTGCAATGCCTCCAGCTTTGTTCTTTTTTCTCAGGATTCCTTCAGCTATTCAGGATCCTTTGTTGTTCCACATAGGTTTTAGGATTCTTTGTTCTATTTCCATGAAGATTCTGACTGGGATTGCATTGAATCTGTAGATTGCTTTAGGTAATATGGACATTTTAGCTATGTTTATTCTTCCAATCCATGAGCATGGAATATTTTTCCATTTATTTATGTTGTCTTCGATTTGTTTCAATAATGTCTTATAGTTACCAGTGTATGGGTCTTTTACCTCCTTGGTTAAGTTTATTCCTAGCTATTTTATTCTTTTTGTTGCAATTATAAATGGGATTGTATTCTTGACTTCTCTTTCTGCGAGCTTGTTATTAGTGTATAGAAATGCAACTGATTTTTGTAAGTTGATTTTGGATGATTTTTTGTGTAGTGGTTACTGTGAGGTTTGTATAAAAGATCTCACAAATAAGATAGTCTGTTTTCTGATAGCCTCTTATCTCCATTTAGAGCCTAAGCAGGTTCCAGCCGTTTCTTCTTGCTCTTCTCAGTTACTGTTGCCACAAATTGTTCTTTTCTGTGTTGTGAGTTTGTGACTAAATTATTTATAGTTATTTTTGATGCTTTCCTTCCCTTTGTCTTTTATGTTATAATTAAGTATTTACTAACCTATTCTGATATAAAGCAGCAATTTTCTGATTTTATCTGTCTATTTATCTCCTTGCTCAAGGTTTTGTAAACTTTTGCTTTTTAGTTTCTCATGGGAGGACTCCTTTCAATGTTTCTTCTAAGGCAGGCCTAGTGGTGATGAACTCCCTCAGCTTTTATTTATCTGGGAAAGCGTTAACTTCTCCATCGTATCTGAAGGATAGTTTTGCTGGATAGAGGATTCTTGGCTGAAAGTTTTTGACTTTCAGTTTTTTTAGTTTATCATTCAGTTATCCCCTAGCCTCTAAGTTTTCTGCTGAGACATCTGCTGAAAGCCTGATAGAGATTCCTTTGCAGGTTATTTTCTTCTGCATTACTGCCCTTAATATTTTTTCTTTGTCATTGATTTTTGTCAGTTTTAATATTATATGCCTTGCAGAAGGTGTTTTTGCATTGATGTAATTAGGAGTTCTATTGACTTCACATACTTGTAAGTCCACTTCCTTTCAGGTTTGGGAAGTCCTCAGCTATTATTTCTTTGAGCAAGCTCTCTGCTCCTTTCTCCCTGTCTTCTCCATCTGGAATACCTATAATCCTTATGTTACTTTTCCTAATTGAGTTGGATATTTCTCAAAGAATTTCTTTTTTTTTTTAAGAATCTTAGTTCTCTCTCCTCCTCCACCTGAAGCATTTCTATATTTCTATTTTCTAAGTGAGTCCTCTGTAATGTCAGTTCTATTTTTTATGGATTGTAGGTTATTTTTTATCTCATTAATTTTGTTCTTCATATCCAGAATTTGTTTGTTTTTTTTTAGAATTCCAATCTCTTTGGTAAAGTATTCCTTCTACTCATTGATTTTATTCCTGAGCTCATTGAACTGTCTTTCTGAGTTTTCTTGTAACTTGTTGAGTTTCTTTATGACAACTACTATGAATTCTCTGTCATTTAGATTGTACATTTCTTTGACTTCAGGCTTGGTTTCTGGAGTCTTGTTATTTTCCTTCTGCTCTGAAGTGTTAATGTAATTCTTCATGGTGTTTGATGAATTGATCCTTTGCTCCAGGGCGTTTGTGGTAGTATTGGGTCACAGATTCCACCTGCCACTGCTGGTAGTGGGCAGGAGCTGTGTTTTCTGATCCCACTTCATCTGCTGGAAGTTGTGCTGGTAGGGCTCCTCTGTGTTTGCACACTGGCCACAGCCGCTTGGCAGGTCATGCACTCACATGCAGCTGGAGCCTCTGTGCTCTGCCAGCAGGGTTGCTCTCATGCAAAAGCACTGTGCTTTGCGGGGGACTGGCTGAGCTGCTGCACTAGCGGGAGGCATGGGGCACTTTGTTTCACATGCAGGCTGGCTCTGTGTTTGTGGGCAGTTTGGCTGAGCTGCTGCACTTGGTGGGGGCTCCCCTATGGGGGCTGAGCTGCACCACTCAGTGGGGAGCATTCCCACAGATGGGGCTGCTCGCATGCTGGGTTCTCCCGTGGGCTGGAAAGTATTGGCACACAGGCCAGGCTGCCCCATCTCCTCTTACAGTTGCACCAGCCACTGAGTAAGGACCCAAGACCTGGGTCTGTGCTGCTGGTAAGGGTAAGGGGTCCACTCACCTAGTTCCACTGCTTCCTGTGGATCCAGTCCCCCCACCTTCAGACTGTATGGTTGTGTGGATCTCTCAGACATCCTATTGTGCTGTGTAGGGAATCCTCTGTTGGTTAAGGAATGTCATTTAGTTGTAATTTAGAGGAGAAACAAAGGGAACAACTCACTCTGTCATGATGCTGATGTTACTCCACTGATATTCCTTTGTATAAGTAATATAACCAGTCTTCTGTTGACAGATTTCTGGGTTAAGTTTTCAGATATTGGGGGTTGCAGATCAAGATTGCTTCTAGAAACAATGTTAAAATGAACATTTTCATGAAAACATATTTTTTTGTTCAAAAGTTTTATGTTTTTATGTTGTAAAATCTATGTTTCCTTTGTGAGTTTTATTTTAAAAAGTGACTTTTTTTTCTAGGAAAGTACCTGAGAACAGATAAATGTTCTTCTGCATTTTTTCCTAATCTGGTTTAAGGATATTTTTTGTCCTTTTGAAATTTATTTAAGTGCATATTGTGATAGGAAATACTAATCTTGGATAAACACTAAATTGGCAATTTCTTAAAACTGCCCTTAAATTCTATTTTCTTTGTGATCTTAAAAGGAGAAGTATAAGCTATTATTAACTGATTTAGAGTATTTCGGATATAGGTAAATTATTATTAGGAGAAGCAAATGTCGATTGAGTGCTTGATCTGAGCTTGAAAATGAGATAATCCTTGCCCTCGTGTATAATCTAGTAAGAAAGATGAGGCACAGGGCACAATTCAGAGGAATCAATTTTAAGCTAACGTATGCATAAAAGCTAGAGGAAGTTTTTAAAAATGTGCTGACATATTGGGAACTGCAAAGTATTAATCAGAGTAAGCTTCCTTTGAGATGACACTTGGACCAAGATGAAAACAAAATCAGGAATGAGGTGAACTTAAAGTGAGAGGTTTCTTCATATGTGTGAAGCAGCTTGGTCCTTGCAACGAATTTCCTTAGCAAATCCAAATCTTTTCTTGACCAAGAAGAAAAGCCTATCTTGCCTAATAGAGGAATCCTTTCTTTGGATGGAAGCAATTTTACATCAAGCATCTTACTTAAACGTCAAGACACAAACCAATCATTTTAATGTGCAAGAGTTTTAAAGTTTCAGTTCTAACCTGAGAGGTAGTGGAGCATGCGGAGGGGTGGCAGTGAGAGCAGTGCTTAATCAGAACATGGACAGGGATAGAATTTCTCTTGGATATATGCCTTTCTGATCTTCAGATTTTGAGACTTGAGATAGTTATCAGAGACACTGAAGAGGTAGCGTATTTCCTGAGGGACATCAACCATCACCAAAGTAGATACCTGTGATCACAGCTGAAATATGTGAAGACCGGAAGAAGGCTGGAGGAGTAGCGCCTGACTTAGCAGAGTAGAGGACGATAAAGCTTGAGTGTCTGCAGCGGGGGAGAGGATTGTGAAGCAAGCTGATCTGCTTTCAGGATTCTGGAAAATCTTGGAAGGCAGGAGTGGAACATAGGGCTGAAACCAAAATTGGCAGTTCCACCTCTACTCCAAGCCACCAGGTGACTATCCCTCCTCCACCCAGAAAATTGGGGGCTTTCTCTCTGAAGAGCTTAAACCAGGAGGCTTTGGTTAAAATAGGGGCAGTGAAGTTAGAATAGAGGGATTCGTAGAAAGTCTGCGTTCTGAAAGGTGAGATCCCACCCCTCTATTTGTAAACAGCTCCTTGACCCCTGATGGTTAGGGTTACACACACCAAGCAGGAAACGGTAGGATCCTTCTCTTGAGAAACAAAATGACCACAGAGGAGAGAATTACAGATACGTGTAACTGGTAATCTCCCATAGGAAAAGATGGCTTGCCACTCAGTCGGTCTACACTGAAGCCCACTCATTTGGGGAAAATAAATGTACATAAGTGCAATTGTAATCATAATATACTGCGTAGACAGCAAGGAGCAATATGTAGGTAGTCATTATGATGAAAATGCTGATATTGATTTAACCACAAACTGAAATACTAGTAATTACATTAACAGGCTGGAGATGGGGGAAGGGCCATAAAAAAGAGTTTAATCTTCATCTACCATCATGAATCAGTAGAAATTTCTTAATTGATGGAACAAGCAATATTGATATAAGAAAATTTAGAAATACAGAGGTGAATACCAGAAGAATTAGCTTTAAAAAAATTGAAAGTATTTGTCACTGCTTAGCTGGAATGGGGGTCGGGGGCAGAAGACTGCCATTTTTCATTATTATGCCTTTTGGATCTATATGATTTTAATCATGTGCCATTAAATTAGCCAGGTTAATTAAAGGAAACATTCTCTGTGATAGAGCTTAGGCGTGGGGTTGCTCCTTTAACAGCGTCGTGGCTGGCCTGTAATAGGCACTCAGTAAATATTTGGTAAATGAAAGATCGCCTTTTTAAAAAGGGATCTGACCCTTATCATTTTTGTCTCATTCCTTGGAGAAGCCATCATTGCTGTTGTTAGAGTTGTTATTCCTTTATCTGTCTACCCTTTGAGTCTCTGCAATGCTTATCTCCCCCTACTAGACGTTTTTCAGTTTCTGAAATATTTTATTTTACATAGAATGATTTGTATTTACGTTATGTTTAAGTACAGAGTTTAATACAATCTTGAGGTTATACGATAAAAACATCCTCTGATAATAAGAACCTTTGACGGCTATCATTTCTGTGTTTTCACCTCTCCAGATCTGAAATAGCTCAGCTCAGTCAAGAAAAAAGGTACGCTTGTGACCGACTGGAGAAGTTGCAGAGAAGAAATGATGAATTGGAGGAACAGTGTGTCCAACATGGGAGACTGCATGAGATAATGAAGCAAAGGTAATCAAGGTTTAATAATCAACTCAGAGGCCGTATATTGAATGTGTTTGGTTCACAGACAGAACAGGAATTGCTGTGGAATAAATAAAATTCATGATCACTGTGCTATTCAAGGGACATGCTCAAAATCTAACGCTTTTATGTATTTATGCTTTCTCAACTCAGGTGGTTCTTACAATACACGGAGAGGAGAGCACAGCCCCTCTTTACTATTCTCCAATGACACAGACTTAGATTTAACACCGACTGTAGGCAAACCAGCTACCTTTAAGGTGTGAGTTGGTAATGTTGTAATATGGGGAATTTCACAGCTTCTCTTCTAGAAGTTAGGTTTTGTACGTTTTTTGTAAGATGAAACATGTAGCAGGCCTAAGAAAGTTCAATATCTTAATCACAGGTTGCGCTGAGAGTATTGCTAGAGTCAGGATTTGACTCCAAACCACTACTTTGAGGAAGTTACTTGACCTGTCTGAACACCCGTTTCTTGACCTATGTATTGGGGCTAATAATACCCACTTTGCAGTTGGATATAAAGATCAAGCGGAATATATGTAAAACACCTGGCTCATAATAGCCATCTGCGAAATGGCATCAGTGGGATTTACTCTCTTTTTCTAGATGAAGAAACTTAGGCTCAGAGAGACTAGTGAATTTGCTCAAAGTGACAGATTAAGTGATGTCGTTCAAACTTGAATCTTGAACTTTTGGCTCCAAATTCCTTTCCTTTTTAGAGCAGTATTTTCCCTTATTATTTCCTATAAATGTGTCATTACTAATTTCTGTGTAATGATGGATTTCCCTGGAAAAAAAAATCTCGGTATTTTGCACCATATGCTGAATTGATTTCGGCCGATGTGCACTTCCGCACGGCGACCGCAGCCAGCCTTCCGGGGAGCGGGGCTCAGCCTGCAGCTCCGTGCCACCCCAATCCAACTCCAGCACACCCTGAGCTTTCTCTGTTTCAGAAACAATTGTTGATGTAGTTGAGAGAAAATGAAAATATCTATGGACTCCTTTTATTTTTTACTTTTTAATTTAAAGTAAACATAAAATCCTTGGGGAGGGGGCAGGTAATTTACAACTTTGATCACTTGCTCTATTGAATAGAAGAAAGACAGTCAGAAAATGGCGCTGCTTTTTAGTCACCAAAATACTAAATGTGGATATATTTGCAAGGTAAGGATCCTTCATTAATTTATTCATTAAAATATTTACTTAAGCCCAGACAGGCCAGGAGTCAGCAAACTTTTTCTGTCAAGGGGCGGAGAGTAAAATAGAGGCTTTGTGGGTCACACGTGGTCTCTATCTGTCACACAGTCATCTTTGTTTTGTTTTTATTTTTGTTTTTTACAGCGCTTTACAAAAACAAAAACCATTCTTAGCTAAAGGGCCAACAAAACAATCCAGAGGATTCGGCTCTTGGGCTGTAATTTGCCTCTGTACAAGACAACCAAGGCATCTTTCTAATATTTCTTTTCTCACATCTGTATATTGCTTTAGAGTTCACAAAATACACACATTGTCTTGCCTTGAAACAAACTGGAAAGTAGCTGTTATTATCATCTCCATTTCCAGATGGAGAACTAAGGCTCAGAAAGATAAAGTTGCCAACTGAAGGTCAGATAGCAAATTAATCATTCATTCATTCACCAAATATTTATAGATCGCTACTATGTGTCATGTTCTCCACCACATGCTGGAATAAAATAGCAAAGTAAATATTGTTCCCAGTCTAATGGAGCTCACAGCCTTACAGGGACAATGGATATTGATAAAGAATTTCACAACTATCTAATTAATCACAGTAACAATCAGATCTATAAAAGGGAAGTGTAGTTTGTGGTATAAGCACATTTAATAAGGGGACTTCTCGTGATCAGGAAAAGTTTCAGTAAGAAAATGCTTGAAATGAAAAAACTTGAAGTGGATCTGTAAGCCATGGCATAGGGATTTTTAGCCTTCTAGAGCAGGAGCTGGCAAACTGCCCCAGCCCACAGCCTCTTTTGTGTGGCTCAGGACGTAGTCGTGCTCGTTCATTTACAGATCGTCTGGGGCTGCTTTGGCACTACAATGTCAGAGTTGGGGAGCTGAGTCACAGGCTGTGACCTACTGGCTCACAAAGCCTAAAATATTTGCCGTCTGACCCTCTCCTAAAAAACTTGCCAGCTCCTGTTCTAGAGAAAGGAAAATTGTAAAATTGAAGATCCTGAGGTCGGGCTTTTGAGGAAGGAGAAAACTGTGTTTAACGTAAAGAATGAGGGAAAGAATGGCATGGGAGGAGGGCGGGGGCAGGGCCTTTACGTTTCTTTTAAAGATTTTATTTTTCCTTGTTCTCCCTAAAGCCCCCTGGTACATAGTTGCATACTTTTAGTTGTGGGTCCTTCTAGTTGTGGCATATGGGACGCTGCCCCAGTATGGCCTGATGAGCAGTGCCATGTCCGCACCCGGGATCCGAACCGGCAAAACCCCAGGCCACCGAAATGGAGCCCTCGAGCCCAACCACTCTGCCACGGGGCCGGCCCCCAGGGCCTTTAAGTTTTTATTATAGACCTTTTACCTTATTCTATTACTAAAGGGAAGAAATTTAAAGTTTTTTTAAAAAAATAAAGGGGAATAATGTGATCAAGTTGCATTTTAAAAATAGCATTCCAGCTCCAGAGTGGCTAATGGATTGGAGCAGAGCCATCCTGTTTACACAAGAACAGCTAGGAAGCTACCAGAGCAGTTAGCCAAGTGATGATGAAGGCTTGCTCTTGAAGTGCTAATGATGGCGACAGAAGTAAACAGATTGGTGAAATATTTAGGCGAAATCAACAGGACTTAATAGTTGAGTAGCTATGTTGGGTGAAGAAGGGGGCATATTCTTGATGTGAACAATGGATGCATAATGCTGCCACTTACTGAGAACTAGAGCACGCTCCAAAGAAGCATGTTTGTGGTCAAGATGGCCTGGGTTTGGGATGAGACCAAGTGTTAAGCTGTGGCCGTGTTCAAATGCATTGAACAAATGGCTACATTGAGTAAGCATGTGGACTTAGGGGAGTAAGCTCAGGAGGAAGGTCTAGGCTAGAGATAGACGTCTCCATTAGCCTATAGAAGATATCTGAAACCTTGGGAGTAAATGAGGTCACCTGGAGAATAAAAGGAAGAAGGAAGAAGGGCTTACTGAATCTTAAAGGACAATATTTTTTAAAGGTAAGGTAGAGGTTAGCAAATGAGTCTGAGACAAGTAACCTGAGAAATAAGTGGAAACTGGAAGAGCACATTATCATGCATGCCAAGGGATGGAAATGCTTCAGGAAAGGAAGTGATCAACCAGATGCTGCTGAGTGATTAAATCAGACTGAAAAGTATCCATTGGACTTAGTGACATGGACATTACTGGTTATGCTAACAAAAATAGTTTTAGTAGAAGAGTAAGTACAGAAACCCTATTAGAATGGATTGAAAAGTTAGTCTGCGTTGAAAAACCGAAACAGCAAATTTAAACCACTTTTTCGTGAGATTTGCCTACAAGGGAAAGCGGGAAGCAAGAGAGAGCAAGAGAGATATACAAACCAACTGGTGGTGGGAAGATGTACTGGAAGGGGCATTTTGGAACAGAGAATCTTTTGTTTTAAGTTAGAGTAGATATGAATGTATTAAATTCTGAATGTAAGATCCTTAAGTTGTAAAGGCAGGAAAGTTACATTTTCCAACTGGTGGTTTGGAACCCCTGGTATCTACAGAGGCACTCCAGGGAATTCATGTTAAAAATAGCTATGACATTTTTTTCTAGTTATGTTTTAAAATGAGTATTGATTCATATATTTCCCCCTAGAAAATAGAACCATGTGAGAGCTCCACAGTGTGTACAGAGGGAACGACCACCAGAGCCCGTGGAGGCGCACTGAGCCTGCTCGAGTGCTCTCACGCCCCCAGCAATCCTGGCTGTTTGTCAGCTATACAGCTTCATGTCGTTCTTTTCTTTCTTTCTTATATTAATGTATTATTTAAACTATATACATAAAAACCATTGGCTGGGGGCTGGCCCCGTGACCAAGTGGTTAAGTTCGCGTGCTCTGCTGCAGGCAGTCCAGTGTTTCGTTGGTTCGAATCCTGGGCGCGAACATGGCTCTGCTCATCAGACCACACTGAGGCAGCGTCCCACATGCCACAACTAGAAGGACCCACAACGAAGAATATACAACTATGTACTGGGGGGCTTTGGGGAGAAAAAAGGAAAAAAATTAAAAAATCTTTAAAAAAAAAAAAAACCATTGGCTGAAGACATGAAGCTGCTGATTGAAATGTAACAAACTAATAAGGAGTTTAAAATTGGTAATTCTTCTATAAATTAACCTCAGAATAACCTTTACCAAATCTGTAAGTTGTATTTTTCTAATAGAAATTTTATTCCTCAAAAATAAATGTTAAAAATAGGAAATGTTATATTGATTTTTATCTAATTTGACATTTCATTTTTGGAGAATAGTCTTACTATTCATTATTTTGAAAACTACTTAAAGACTGAAATATTAACCTTTATCTCATCATTTAAAAACAAAACAAGACAAAATAGAATGCAACAAGGTTTAAAAAGAGTTATACACCTCAACCGAGTAGGATTTATCCCAAGTATACAGGGCTGCTTTAACATTCAAAAATCAGTTAATGTAATTTATCACATTAATAGGCTAAATAAGAAAAATCACACAATTATATCAATAGATGCAGAAAAAACATTTGACAAAATCCAAAACCCATTCGTGATAAAAACTCTCGGTAAAATAGAAATAGAGGGAAACTTCATCAACTTGATAAAGAATGCCTACAAACAACCTACTGCTAACATCATACTGAGTGGTGAGAAACTTGAAGCTTTCCCAGAGAAATCAGGTACAAGGCAAGGATGTTCCTTCTCCCCACTCCTTTTCAATATCATCCTGGAAGTTCTCACTAATGCAATAAGACAAGAAAAGGAAATAAAAGGTGTACAAATTGAAAAGGAAGATGTAAAA